CCAGAACCCCAAAAAAAACCTTGTAGGTACCAATGAAGCTTCAAGCAGGCCCCAGATGACCATCTGGGGACGGAGGCTTCGAGACACCGACAGCCATCAAGGATGCCGCCACGCACCGCGACACCGGAAATGGAGCAGCCAGAGTGATTGAGTTTTCCGAAGGTTCAAGGTTCACTTCTTTGGGCTTAACGCCCCCGTTGAACTTCCAAACCCTCCCGTCCTGAACCCAAACCTCAATAATTCTCCAATTATCCTCACAGGTACCCAAAGGAAAGGTCACACGCAACCGGCCTGCACCGAAGGACGCCGCTTCTTGCGGCCGTTATTCTCCTTTTCAGGGGCTCCAGTTCGCCGATGAGGATTCAGAACATCCGGCTTAGTTCGTATGGCGTTCTCTCTGTTTCCCGCTCCCACAACTCAGACCCCGAAGGTGCCTCACTGATGCGAATCGGATTGTAGTTTGCAGGCGACTAGATGTAGACGCTGACTCAACATAATGGAAGGAAATCTTGATATTCACCACTGCCAACTTGGAGCCGTCTCTCTAAAACCGCTATGCCAAGGAGCCTTCATTACTGCATGCCACGAACATCCCCACTCCTTGAAACCCTAAGATCTACCTCTCGTGGCGGAGTCCTTGGATTCTTTCATTGCGTTGTAGGCATCCTCGTCGATGCCTGGGCAGCTTGGGAACAAGCTTCGAAACTCGGAGCCGGCTGAGCTCCCAGTGCTCCTTAACTTGAAGCCAAGGACTCCTCGACAGAAAAACAGAGCGCCTCTAACTCCGGTTATGTAGAGACTAAAACGAGCTCCAAATCCGAATCCCGTCCTGATTCTTGCGAGTCCTACAGCCTATGCTACACGGCTCAGCCATACCCCAGGCTAAAACGAAGGATGCCTCGGAGCAGGGTGTACACATAAGCACGCCAGTTCGAGACTTTCTTTCGCTGCACTCCTGCACCCACCCACTTCCCCTCGGTGAGCTCAAAAAGGGCAGCCTGAACCCTGCAGAGTTTAAGAGGTTGAGGCGTTGAGGTACTATTTCAGAGTCGAGCAATGAGCTAATGAGAAGGGCCTTGGCTCGAAGCTCCAACCCAAAGGTGGGCTTCTGAGATCCCCTTTTTTGCATAGGGTTTAGGGTTTAGGGGTTAGGGTTTAGGGTGAGATCCCCTAAAGCCCTAAGCCCTAAGCAGAATCCTCCCGGTGGTAGCGACGGGTGAAGTCGCTCCTACCACTCGCCTTCTTTACTCTGGAAACATAAACTCCCCGCTTTCACGTCTTGCTATCATCTGACCAGGTTGTGTTTTCTACCGGGAACTCGCAGCAGTGGCTCCCCTCGAACCTATATACAAAGGCATGGGCCCCTCAGCAAAAGGCAAATCTCAACAACGCATCGGCAAACAAAAAACACCTCAACTAAGCCCACTGAACACCATCGGAAAGATCAACAATGGCCCCAACAAGGCCCGAAAGGCTAGGAAACCGTTGACGCTAGACCGTGCACCTGAACTCCAAACCCTTGCACCTCAACCTAAACCCATGCCCTCAGCCAGTCCTTGAAGAGTGCTTTGCAGCACCTGACACGCCTGCGAAGGGCCAAAGGCTGCTTTTAAGCGCCCATGGGAGCCATGCTGTCAGAGCACAGATGAAGTCATGGTTCACTCCGAAGTTCCACTCCAAGCTCTCAGCTTGAGGCCCTGCGCTCCGCAGCGATGTCTGCACCCAAACTTCAATTCCAGACAATGCGGATCCATGCAAACCACAGCCCCTCCGGCCTCTGTGGCCCTGCCCTTCTCTTGCAGCACCTTGGCACTAGACCCTCGCTCTCGGGGTTTCCACTTGTTTGTCGCACCTTTGAAAGCATCACAGCATTGCTCTTCTGGCTTCTGGTGTTCTCGCATTCTCGCACGGTCCATCGACAGCTATGTCGAAATGCAGAAACGAAATGGCCAGGAACTTCTGCATCATCCTCAGCACCATTGTCATCGTGATCATCAATGCCATCGCGAGCAACATCATGTTCATCTAACGTTGCTCCCAGCACCAGCATCATAGACAACATCCGCACCAGTAACTGACGTTCAAGTCATCCAGACAAGCCAGTTTGGACGCAGCGTGCGTAGTGGAGCATCTGTCGCAGCAGCAGGAGCAAAAGCGCAAATAGTAAGAGCAGCAAAGAAGACTAGCGGTGGTGGTGGTTGTAGTAGTTCTTGTCGTCGTCGTAGTCGTAGCTAGCAGTGATAGCAGCAGCAGCAGCAGCAGCAGCAGCAGCAGCAGCAGCATTAGTAGTACTACTACTATTACCAGCATGTAATGCTGCTAGTAGTTGTTGCAGTGAACACCAGCAACTGGACGGAGAGGAATCATGTCCGTTTGGGAAACCGTAATAGCGAGAGCCAGGTCTGACATGTGCACATTTGGCCTGGCTCTAGTTTGGGGTTTACAATTGAGCGGCTCGAGGAAAAAAATAAACTCTGCCAGCAAAGAATTCCAATGCCGACCCGAGCAGCATCAAGCAGAAGAATAGCCTGTGGGGCGCAACCAGGTGGGGATTTGGACTGCTTCTTATGTTAACGGGCCTTAGGCGGTTCAGGGCTTAGCCTTTCTCCGCTTACTTCGCCCTGAATCCAGCGAATGAGTTCCGCACTCGGGGGTCGATTTGTGCATGCTATACTTCGCAAGGGCGATACTGATCTTCTCTGTGCCGCCGGACCGATGCAATGCTATAAGACGAACCCAAATTTCGATGGGGGGCTCCCAATTCCGCTCGGGCCTTGGAGTCAAAGTCGCCAACCTGCACCGGGGTGTTCCGCAAGACCTTCCGAAGGTCGACTGAGAGCGCTTTGGCTGATGCGAAGCCGACAAATGAAGCTGATGGCTATGGCTGTGATAGGTAGTAGGGCTGAAACAAACACTGGCACCGTCAGCTACTACTACTGCCATCACTTCTTTCCGGCGTACAAACGGACCCGGAAACCTGCGCAGCATATCCTGAGAACAAAGACTGGCACCTTTTCTAGGCCGTTCGGGCATTGAAGGATCTGAAGCAACAGAGCCGGAGAAGATGCAGCACTACCAAAGAGAATATAAGAAAACAATGTATGCCACAGAAGTTTCTCGCCATCTTGCACCATCAGACGGAAAAAGGCTGGTATTCCCTCCATGTCCCATTCACCATGCAGCAGCCTGGACGATGCCACTCTTGTACGGCTTCTCCTTTGCATCGACTTTTTTGGGGATCTCTTCCAATTCGGAGATCCGGAACCTAGACCGTTGTCATCTAGGTCCCACCCTTGAACCATGTGTTGTTGTTGGCATCCCTAGTTTTCTGAAACTCCCGTTTCATGTATGCTACGTTTCTTACAGTGCACAGTTGCGTCCGGCTCAGGCAGGTGCACTGGCTCCCTCAAGCCAATGCCTCAAAACTTTTGTAACATGTCAATGTCTCCACTTCCACTCCACACCCACTCTCAGACAGACTTACAAGATGACTGACAACTTGGGAAGGAACGGAGCTTGGCAGCCTCTCTCATGAAATCCAAGATCGGGTCGGAAGCCTAGCGTGCCAACTACATGATGAGAGGCGGCCCCTCCTGCCAACATTACGGCTGCTGTGGTACTTCTATAGTACCTTTTAGGGTTTAGGGTTTAGGGTTTAGGGTTTAGGGGTGGGGTAGAACCTTGAGACTTGTGTTCTTCCAATGCAGCCCATCCGCGGCCAGCGGGCCATCAATCACATCGCTACTTTTGGACTTGCCTTTCACCATACCTACGGAACCTGGCGACGAGATGGCCCAAAAAGGGTGCAACTCGTGTCTTGGGCCAGGCCTTCACTGCGAAAGCTGCATGAGAACTTGGCACAGACAAGCCAACAAGAAGCATGCAAAGCCGAAAAGCTAAAAGCTCTAGAAGGGCACCAGTCCTGCACCTGAAACTCCGAAGAAGCTTGGCCGTGCCTGGGCCTGGCAACCTGTGCTCTATGACTCGATGAACATCATCAAGCCCAGAATCTCTACCACGGCAGGCCTACACATCCCACTCTCGCACCTTAACTTCTAGCCTTGCACGGGAGCGTCGACCTCAAGATAGTGCAGATTCCTAAACCACACGGATGCCGGGCACGCGGCTGCCTTCGACACAGCACCCCGGCCGCGGCCCTGTGGGCCTTGCGGACAAAAAAAAACAAACCCTAAACCCTAAACCGGAACCCCCCTGAACGTCCCCATCGGCCGAAGGCTCGGCGCCTTTTGCAGCGGCCTTCGGGGCGGTGCCGCGCCTCGGGGACACCAAGAAACCCCTTAGGGGGCTTGTAGCAAAGGGTTTAGGGGTTTTGGGTTTTTTTGGGGGTTTTTGGGTTTAGGGTTTAGGGGGCTCATACTCGAGGCCTTCTGGCTCTACGAAATGAAAACCCAGGAACCCATAAGTGTACCAGGAATCATGGGTTTCTGAAGCATCCTGATACCGCGGCTGCTTTTGGTGTGTACGTTCTTTTGGAATTTTCGGTTGCAGGTGTCGGGACTTCGGAAGATATCTAGGGTTCCGATTGTTTGCAACCTCACCGACTGAAAGGGGTTTGTGGTTTTTATCGTTAAGGAGTATAGTAGTTGCTGTCGAAGGCGCTAGGGACAGCTTCAGATTTGGGATTGAAGATTTATTGCAGGCATGGTTCCGCGCAGTGCGATCACAGGGGTGGCGATGCTGGCTGTTCCCAGCTCTATGGTTTTTATCTGTGCCCTAAAAATTGCCACTGTTCTCCTGTTTCTGAATCCATGCTGAGACAGGAGCTCTTTCGATTCTCATGTCGACACGCCTCGAGAATATTCGGGAATGTCGCCACAGAGGCTACCACCTGCTCTAAATGGGCTGCTTCTGCACGCTATTGGTGCTGCAACACATGCAGTATGGTATGTATCAATGCCTCAACTTAAGAACTGCAGCGGTGAGCCTTGTCACCAGCGTGTCTATACAGGAAGACCATGGAAGACCCAAAATTGCAGGGATCAAGGCAGCCGCATCTGGCATATCATATTGATGCGCATACACTGACCTTGAGATGGAACGCTGCTTCCCTGGCCCATGGGGTTGAATCCAAGAGAGCAGCCGCCCTGGCATGCAGAATAGAAGTGGCATCCCTGAGGCCAGTCAGGATAGCTTACCTCGGAGACGACGTCTGCCCAGGTACCTCCCCAGTGGCATCTCTGTCCTGGACGGACTGCTTCAGCGGCCTCCACACAGTCGGCTGCCGTTGCACCCACAGGCTCGAAGGGAAGAGTGCATGCCTTGTCCTCGTTAGGGAGCGCGTAGGCTCGAGACCCAGAAGGGCCCAAGGCGATTCTGACCCAGTCCTGGAGCTTGTCAGAAGACTGCTGGCAAGACCACAATTGGATCTTTGCCCCATTGAACCCATGGTTGCTGTCGATAACGAGGCACATCTGCGTGGGGGCGTTCCGTGCCTCGATTTGTCCGACATCGTTGAAGTACCAGGTCTGGTGCTTGTTGCTGTCGCTGCATTTCCAAAGCTGAATTTTCGCTCCATTCTCATACCTGTCGCCGTCGATCACGACGCAGTATTCTAGATTCTGATGCATCCTGATCCGTCCGGCGTCATCAAGGAAGAAGTTCTGGCCTCCGCTTTGCCACGCTTGGTCGCAACGCCAGAGCTGTACCTTCACACCGTTGCCGATGCGGTTTCCATCACTGGAAAGGCAAAACGACAAGTCTGGCATCCATGCAAGGTGCGTGGAAGAAGAGGCTTTCTTCGCAGCACCTTTGGTCAGAATCGTTGCATTACTATCCCCGACGCTGACGCTGCCCCTGAGCTGTGCCTCCTCAGCAACTGCTGGGGCAAGTATGGAAAAGAATGCAAATGCCCATAGAGCCATTGTTCGGCAATGCAGGGAATTGGCTGGGAGCGACGGTAGATCCCAGCACTTGAGCCCAGCAGGTTGCCCAAAGCCATAGTGTCCGTATTACCTATCGACAGCTAAGAGCCTGCATCTGGGCTGAACCTTGTGGCCAATAACGTGTAGCTTAAAGCGCGGGGACTGCAAGGCACGAAGCCCTGACACCCAAAGCCTCCCCGGCAGTGAGCCTCGACTGGGCTTGCATTTGCACATATACTGGTGCATATCTATATCGGATCTATATTTGTGCACGTGCTTTCATGCATGTGCATATGTGATGTGATGTCAGGTGATGTAATGTGATGTAGTGATGTCATTTAATGTAATAATTTAAAACATATGCACAACGAGATCAGATACTGCAAACACAGTACATCTACATACATACATACATACATACATACATACATACATACATATATATATATATAAATTTGTTTTATACACCTATACACATACAGACGCACAGTCAGACAGACAGACAGACAGACCGACGGCCGACCGGCCCGCCGGCCGGACGGACGGACGGACCAAAGGACGGACAGACAGACAAACAGATAAAGACAGACAGCCAGGCAGGCAGGCAGGCATGCATGCTTACCTACACATACCTGCACATACATACAGATGCCTAGACATACATACATACATACATACATACATACCTACATAATCTACATACCTGCACATATCATTTGTCTACCCGGCCCACTGGTTCCCACAGCATAAGGAATTCCAGAGGTATGTAAAAAAACGGACACCGTGCCCAGACGCGCTCTACACAAGCAAATCGAAAACGCACTACAAAGCGGGAGAGCCAGTGTGCAGTTTTCTCTCTCAGACCCGGCTTCTCAGGCCCAAGACGACGCCTGCGCAGAAAATGAGAGCAACGAGCAGTCGCAGAGCCGGCGCCGTCTTTGCAGAACTATCCACTTTCGCCAAGCCCGGCAGGGCAACCTCCAGCCTTGGAAAGCCTTGCGCCCGGAGCTGGCGCCAGTGCTCGTAGAGTTCGCGACCGCCTTCCGGAGCTCCCCGCCCCTCCCAACTCAGAAAGCGCGAAGCCTCCGAACACTCTGGCGTGAAGCGAAGGACGAGGATGACTCCCGTGGTCGCCCGGGTCAGAGCAAAGCTGCGCTGGGCCGTGATACGCCAGCTCGCGCCGGCCTTCACTGCTCCCTGGGACGCGTAGGAGCGATCCAAAGCCTCGAGTAGCTTCGGCAGGACTCTCCGGCTTGCGAAAACCACCACTCTGCCACCAGGGCGAACCACACGAAAAATCTCCTGCAGCATCTGCTGGTAAAAAGCCACCAAGCTGCCGCTTATGCCAAACTGGCGATCCCAAGGCGGGGCGACTACGACCTTGTCCACAGAAGCATCAAGCAGAGGTGTTCCGCCGGGCTGCGTGGTGTTGGCCTGATGTAGAACTACACTTTGCCTCAGGCTGTTGTGGCAGGGCGGACAACACCCGAGGAAAGAGCATTGAATCGGGAACACATGCCAGAAGCAGGAGCCGTGGCAAGTTGCTCTAGCCATTCGAAATTGCGCCGGCAATGCTCAAGTTGAAGGGCATCCGCATCGCCTGCACGTCGCCACAGAAGCATTCAATCACTTCAATCCTTGACGGACAACATGGGAAAGCCGAATCCCGCTAAGTTGCAACCAACGTAGATCGCCCTCGGCCACCACACAGCTGCCTGCAGGAAAGCTGGGCAGCGTCACGCACTCACGAGACATCTTGGTCGGAAAGACCACACCCTGAAAGACTTCAAGATCAAGTGCCGCGACCTGCCTCTGCAAGGATCGTGCCCTTCCCGCACATGGGGTCCAAAACAGTTTCTCCCGGCTGCACATCCAAGCTTCTTGCAATGGCCCATGCTTCCACGTGGTGCATACCCTCAGGGTTCAGGGGCTGCGACGGGCGCTGCTCGCACGATGCTGGGAGCATCCACAACCAACAGCTGCTACACACCGAACAACTCCCGAAGAGAGCTGGTGACTTGTGACCGTGCCTGGTGCGGGAAGCCTCCACCAAGTTTGGCCTTTTTCGACGGGCGCAGGCGTTTATAGTTGTTTCCTGCTGGTGTCGGTTGGGGTCACCCTGCATTGAACCTGTAACGTATTCTCAGCTTGAGGAGCCGCAAAGCATGGCAACAAGGCCTTGAGGCTTGATCTGATAGGCACTCTCTTGGTTTCCAAGCGAAGGTTTGGGTGTGAGGCTTGCCGCCCTCGTGTAAGGTTGTGCAACATTTAGGGGTTCGAAATGCAGGTGTACACATTCATGCACATGGTATAGAAAAACACGCATAGGTGGGTGGATGTCTGTATGCACGCATTTACATACGCATGTACCTGCATACGTATCTAGGCAGGCAGGCAGGCAAGTAGGTAGGTAGGCAGGTGGGCAAGAAGGCAGGTAGGCAGGCAGGCAGGCAAGTAGGCAGGCAGGTCAGTAGGTAGTGGGTGGGAGTAGTACGCATGTATGTATGTATGTATGTATGTATGCATGCTTCCTCTGCTTACCTACTTTAGTTTGTATCCAGATCTCTGTGGTTCTTCTACGATCTTTCGACTCTCACACTCGCACCAGGCAGGCAAGGTTGCTCGTAGTCACGTCTACGATTTTTAGGTTTACCTGTACAATGGAGGGGCACTCGGAATTCGCTCTAGTTGTTCCCACGAGGCCCTGGTCTCGATTTCGACATGTTGCGCTGGACTTCTCCCACCCTGTCGTTCTTTCAGCTCCTACTTGTTCTGCCTTGTTCCGCAACACTCCTCCGGGTTGCATCTGCTTGTCTCCGTGCTGACTTTATGATTAATGACCCTTACAACTGAAAACTGGAGAACTAATTACAATCCTGATGGCAGGCCGCCTTCTGCTGCTGCAGGAGGGGAACCTCGACTCGAAGTGTGGAGCCCTCCACGTGCAGGTGCAGCGTAAGGTCCGCGGAGCCTCGACTACTTTTTTCGGGCATGTCTTGGGATTAAGGTTGAAGGATGTTGGCTTTGGGGCACATGTCGCCAGCTTTGTGTGGCTTTGGGTTTTGACCTCCATGTATCTCCTGCTGCCATACGAATAGGAGTAGGAAGTCCCTGTTCCTGTCAAAGACTTCAACAAACTTTGGACTCGTAGTTGCCGGGCGCAGCTACAGGGCTTCGAGCTCAAGAAAGGCCGAGAGGCGACCCCGCCCACAAGGATGCCAGCCGAAGCGGCGCTGCAGACAAAGTGCCAACTCGCGGTGCAGCTCGTGGGCCACATCGGCAGTGAGGAGCCGGGCAAGCTGCTGAAATTGCCGACTCACCACGCAGCAGCTCCGCACCGAGATGTTCAAAGCTCTCAGGTCGCCTTCCACGTCGTCCCAATGGCCAAAAGAGTCCATGGCCTCTGCGAGCTGCCCTGCGGAGAATGTTGGCAGATCTGCCGGGTTCGACCGGTCCGGAGGCCGCACCTCGACGGAGACGGCAATGCGCCGGATGCTTCGGACGTGTCGCACTTCAGAGAGGGCCTGGACGACGTGTCTGCCGTCAGTTCCGACTGCATCGAAGTAAAAGCGTCCCCTTGCACAGTGCACATGTCGGCCAACAGCCTCTAGCTCTGCTCTTGCCATGCGATTGAGTGAAGCATTCTGCCCGTGGCAGGCTTGTATTGCGCTGTATTTTGTGGACAGCGCGGGTAAAACAAAGAGGTGTAGCTGGCAGCGCAGGAGCTGAGCAGCAACAGCCAGACCAGCTGCATTCCGCAGTCGATGTCTCAAGCGCATGAGATTTGGTGATGCTGAGTCATGGTTGGAATTGCTGCTCGGCCCAGGCTGAGAGAAGGAAGAAGAAACCACACGACAATGCAGCAATAGGTAGGTAGGTACGTAGGTAGGTAGGCAGGGAGGCAGGCAGGCAGGTAGGGAGGTAGGTAGGCAGGCAGGCAGGCAGGTAGGTAGGTAGGTAGGTACTAGTTACTAGTCTCTTTCGGGCGGTTTGCTCATTGTTTTCAAAGAGGCGGGCAGGCAGGCAGGCAGGCGGGCGGCATGCAGCTCGGTTTTCGGCGGTGGGTAGCTAGTTGGCTAGCAAGGTAGTCAGTCAAGTCGGCTAAGTGGTAGTAGAAGCCGCAGCGGCAGCAGTAGTTGCATGGCTGGTCGTGCCGATGGTGCTGGGCAGGTGGCTCTGAAATAAAGTTTCGTGGAGTTGGTGGCTAGTGACAATATATCGTACTTGCGGGTTGTGTATAATAGTCACCGGTTGAAACACCGTAACTAAACAAACTGAGGTGAGATTATGCTCTCCACTGCTCTCCTGTCAGAGCGACTGCGACTGGGGACAGGAAGGACAACTCAAGCCTGGCCAAGCTCAGATGCAGACCCTGCTGCAAAAGCCCGGGCGAAGGTGGACGCCATGGCCCA